AAATGGGCAATTAACATACGAAAGTAAAGAGGTCTATTGATGTTGCAATTGTTAGTTAATATTCCCATCCAAGTCTACGACTTTTAGTGTAGAAGCTCTTCGTCTGGCTGGCGTAGGATTTTTGGATTTCTTAAGCTCTATTTCGTCTTTTTCGTCAACGAACTCGATTGGCGTTACGCAGCGTTTTACGATGAATTTCCCATGATTCTTCTTGCGCCTAATTGAATAAAATAAATATTATATTTTGACCACACATTTTCAGAATGTCAGTTTTTTGATTGGTTAAGAGTAGTGGAAGTTCATAGTACTGTTCGTCGGTTCACGCATCCTTCACCCTTTTCCCTACATTCTCGCTACAAAAAAAGTCAAAGTTTTACCTCGTTGTTTTGTCGATTTAATATAAGAGAAACGTGGTAAATGTGAGGGCAATCAAGTATAGTGATTTTTAGCTTTGCCTCGATAAACTTCAAACGTTTATTATTGTATTTGTGAACTTTCATGTGAAAGAAAAATAATAATTGCTGTGTATAAATTAGCTGAGAGAAGTCTTCATCAATCTCATCAGATCTGCTCCAAATGGTAGTCAAACACTGTACAACCAGCAAGAATGCTACTAAAAACTTGTGATTCAGCGAATAAACGTAATCTTCCACACTAGAGGAGACAAGGTATATCAAACCTATATTGTTGAAATGATTGTCGATCGTTCGTGCAGGTTCCTTTTGGATTTTAACATCTTGGGCTTCCTTTGTCAAAGGCCAGATCTCTAAGCCAAATTCAACATGCTTGACAATTTCGAGTGTTTCTTCACTATAATATCTGAAGTTTTTATCAATATTTACGATATTTTAAAGCTTTGAATGGCGGAAAAACCACCAAAAAGAAATCTATGTTCACTTCCAAATAAGGTAAGCTTACTAAATATGATTATGGAGTTGATCGCCACGCGAACAACAATTTTATTTGGGAAAAGTTAATGAAGCCAAACAATACTAAAAAGTGTTAGCCACAGTTAGACCTTACGTACCAAAAGAAGCATGAGATGACGATGATTACAAACAAGAGCACAAATGTGCAGCCAACAGACAAACCAATAATAAGATTGTTCTTTCCTTTTACGGCTGGAGGAGAAGAGGTTGAAGTTTGGTTGTAAGGTTTAATGGACTTGATTGACGCACCAAATGTTGAGCTGATGTGGTCTTGAGAGGACCTGACTGCGTTCACAAGAGCATTCTGGAATATTGAAGTGAATAGGAGTAAAGAAATTTGTTTAGGCACACATATAACAGTGAGTGAAAACGCTTTATACACAACAATATCAATAAACAAACAAGCAAACAACGACTCCGAACAAACAACGACAATAAACAACAAAGACCACAACAACAGTTGAACAATAAACAAAGAAAACTGCAACACACGACAAACAGTATATTAAACAACAGCACTTTATCGTACCAATAAATTACACAATTTTTTTAATCGAAAAAAGATGAATCAAATCGAAATATGGTGACCAATTTAGATAACTCAGTATTGTAGTTCTGGACTGACAAGCATTCCATACGCATGAAAACGCTTTCATGTTTCCACCCACGTGAACACGAGGATAATCAGTGCAACGTTAAACGAACTGGTCGCCATGTTCTCCGCATTCTTTACTTGGAATGTGTAACAAAAATTATTGAACAAAAGTAATTTCATCCGCGTCATTTTCTCATTTTCAACATGGAACACGGATGAGTGATTCAACATAAACACGCATTGTAATGAGATTTATCAGCTCACTCACAAAGCAAAGCGGGGAGGGACTCGACAATAGTTGGACTACAAGTAAACTAGCTATATCTAAAAGTTACTGTGATATCCTCACCTGAGGGACAGCACTAGAGTTCCATGTTCGGTCTACATTTATTCCCAGCGGGTACAAAGTATAGAAGACGACAACAAGAGTGAAATCTCCACCAGAAGATGGAAAGCCAGGAACGAGGTGAATATGCTCTTCTTTGAACATGTTTTCTATTGATCTCCTAAAAATATATACGTGAAATGTCCTTTTTAGAGGGCTTTTACGTTTTTGCAACCTTCACATGTATACTTGCTAAACATTTACTGTGTCAGACCGTTGGGAGTTTAATCAATTATTATTCTTTATTTATTAATTTTGATCGACTGGGTTTGTAGTTATTCTTTCCTCGGGCTGTATTCAATCGTTTGTTGGTTTTTCTTTTCCTCTGTACAGTATTTGGTTTGTAAAATTTAAAAGAGCTTAAAAAAGAATGATTATTCTGCCAATCCCTAGCCTTAGAGCAGCAGTCTCGATCTCAGATCCTACTTGCACTCACAAACAGCTTTCAC